AAAAGATAAAAGCCGACGAAATATTACAACTACTGTATTATCCTTAAATTTGCTTTGAAGCGATAAAACACACTTACTGACTTAGGTTATGAAATTGTAAAAAGGTAAGAATGTAGGCCTATATGTCTAAAATTCCTTTATATTATCCCAAAGCGTGTCTCTTTTACCAACGGGTGTCTCTTTTAAAAGTAAACGCATTCAATTACTTATCTTATTTGCAAACATCTCTACTTCTTTCGAAATGCACAAATATATAAGTCGGCTAGCTATTCGCGTGAGATCCGGGCCATTTATATACCGACAGGAAAATAAAAAAGTTTCAATTCTTTGTGTACCTTTTACGTTTATGTATGTATATATAGTACCTAAAATAATATTAAAAAATTGAGCTGATGGTTCGAAAAGTCTAGAAATGAAATACATTGAAGTGCCTCATTTTGTCTTCCTTTGATGAGAACATGTACTAGGGCAGTGTGGGCATTTCCCGAGTTCCTTTGCTATGGATGACGGCATTTTGTCCTCCCCGCCCATGTCATCTGGCGAAGCCCCAACTCAAGGTACGTTTGGAAGTGTCCAGCGTGTGTTGGTGATTCTTCAGGAACGAGCATGATGCCGCAATTCTTGCGAATTTTAGCCATAGCTTTGACTGCGCAGACAGGGTGAGATGCACAAAATAAACAGTTGGGTTTCTCGCATTTCGTGGGACAATTCTCTTGGACGTCTGGTTGCATGCTTGACCGCAAAGAGCATTTCGTTGTACAGTTCAGTGTTCTCCAAGCACTTAGTCCTAGAACCATTGGCGACTATATCTGGTGAATTTTCTCGTAGTCGCTTAATGGGTGTGATTCGCTTTTGCAGGGGTGGTGTGAACTGCTGATGGAAAAACCATTGAATGTCTGGCCATCCCAGAAGGCATTCAGTTCTTGCATGGCATTGTCGAAGACCGCTGATTCTTTTTCCCCGTACCTCCTCTTTGCTGAAACCGCTTTGTGCATTCGGTGGCAGGCTCTCTCTGTCCAATGTACTCTTCAGCCGGACGGACTTAGTGGCGACCAGCCGTACTCTATAGGGAGGACCTTCTATGGTGAGGTTTGGAAAAGGTCAACTTGAACCTGGACGGAGTCTATGACCCCATTGCAATAAATATGGTTAAACTCAAGTCCTTGAAAAGAAAATGTTGCAAGGCTATGTCTTTTGTTCGGGCATTAATGCCGCATTTTTTCTCGAGCAACGAGGTGATCATCTTTGGATGGAAATTTCTCCTAAAAGTCATCGGTTGACCCCCAAAAAATTGATAAGAAAATGAAAGATGAAGAAATAATTTGATGTGTGTCTCGAACGCTTTGGAGAGTTGTGAGTATTTTTTCCTGAATTTCGGAAGTGGGGGCATTTATCATTGGGTTCTATGGCAGTTTATTTACTGGTCGGCAACCTTAAAAGCGGACATAAGTATCGGACAGTAGGTGGCGCTCTTTCGACTGAGGTTACACGCTCTTTCCGACTGGCAGATTTTGTCGCCGACCCGATTTTGCTTCACGCGTCCCCGCCTGGCTCGCTCTTAAAAGCTGTGGCCGGTTGCAATATGCCACTCTGCAACCCCCCCCCCCCCCCCCCGTTATGCCACTGCCCTGAGCCTGAGTAAAATAGGCGCTAATAATAACGGAAATGAAAGAACAAAAACTATCCCTCCAGGCGCGGATCTAGAGAGGGGGGGGGGGAGTTCGAGGTGTCAACCCACCCCCCCCAGCTCTGTCCAAAAAAAAAAATGGCATAGAAATTCATGAAACAAAAATGCGAATCCGCCCCCCCCCCCCCCCCTGCTCCGACACCCCAATTTTGTTTGGAAATTATAATGTCTGCCTTGCACCAAATACGTACAGAACCAGCTAATTGTTTCGGTGGTACATTATTCTGAGATAGTATCGTCGGATTTGAACAGCGACCCCATTGAAAATATTGTACAAGCCCCCCCCCCCCTGCTTTATGACCTTACGGAGGCCAAGTGTCCGGAGAAAAAAAGGTCTACATTCAAGAATTGTTTGCTGATGAACCCCCCCCCCTGCGAAAATGCCAAGATCCGCCCCTGATGCCTGTTGTGATCCACGCTTTTGGCGGGTCGTTTATATTCATCATCGGAAGTTTTGCAACTTATGCCACTTATATTATAAACAGACGAGCCATCAGCTGAATATCACGCTGCCTAGCTGCTGGGACGTGGCCCACAGGGCTTCCCTCACTCTGATCTGGGCCGGGCCTTCAACGATAACGAGCGAGACTCTGGCTTGCTTAATATAGTCACTCTAACCTTGGTCAAGGGGTTCGTCATTATTTGTCCGTACGCGGTGAACATTCGGAGGAAGTAAAAGTCGGGACAAGGTTTCTGTAGGTGAACCTGCGGAAGGATCATTACCCATCAGAGAGAGAAAAACCCGGCCGTCCAAGGGGCCGAGGTTTGGTTGTCCCTGGCCGGCCCCCGCTCCAGTGGGGCCAGCCTAGCCCGACTGCGTCTGGCCGTACAGTACTATCGCAAGCTCTGTAGTACGGCCAGTCGCCCAATGCTTCCACAAAGACTGAATTTTTTTCCCCTGCTGATGTAGCGATTTGGCTACAGATTTTGATCGAGATTATCTTTTCATCCAGGACACAAATTTCCAAAGTTAAGGTTCTTAGTCGTAGAGCAACTCATACCTTTTCGAAAAAACGTTCTTTGGTCTCAATATTTTCATCCATCTAGCCAAAAGACGACTTTTAGTCATCATCTTCCACAAATATCGTCCTGAAAATGTCCTCCATGCGATATCAAAATGGCGGCCGCGTTGTAATATATGCATTATGCGAGCGTGCTTGGGTAAGATAATGAATATGCATTATTTAGTTCATGGCCTCGTGTTTGTATGGCCAGCCGCGCCGCGCGCCCGACAAACGTCATAAACTATTATGCATATTCATTATCTTACCCAAGCACGCTCGCATAATGCATACATTACAACGCGGCCGCCATTTTGAAATCGCATGGAGGACATTTTCAGGACGATATTTGTGGAAGATGATGACTAAAAGTCGTCTTTTGGCTAGATGGATGAAAATATTGAGACCAAAGAACGTTTTTTCGAAAAGGTATGAGTTGCTCTATACGACTAAGAACCTTAACTTTGGAAATTTGTGTCCTGGATGAAAAGATAATCTCGATCAAAATCTGTAGCAAAATCGCTACATCAGCGGGAAAAAAAATTCAGTCTTTGTGGAAGCATTGAGCGTCTGGCCGTACTACAGAGCTTGCGATAGTACTGTACGGCCAGACGCAGTCGGGCTAGGGTCAGCCGTGCTGTCTTCCGGATAAGCGGGAGTGTCCCACGTCAGGGTTTTGGAAGCGCCGCCGAGTGCCGCACCAGTGCCCCGCGTGGGGGAGTTTTTACGCAGCCGGGAGCTCTCATTACGCACGTATGAGGCGCCCGCTGATCATTGGTCAATTTCTCGAGGTCATACGCAGCTCTAGTTCCATAAATGATCGCCGAATTAATTGCCTACATATCATAGATCCATCCGCGGGGGGGGGGGGGGGTAGAAAAAAGGTCGATAACGAAATCAACTATCTTCATGAAGATTAAAAGGAGATATTTAAATCGGGGGACTACGATCGTATACTATATAGGTAAAGCCAAAAATTGCTGCCGTACCAGATATAAACAAGCAGGGTTTTTAGCATTTTCTCCATGTAAATCAAATATACTACGACGTACGTGGATTTCATGTGACCCACGCCTTTGAAGTAAATTAAGTATACTTGTAAAGCAATTTTGCAAACTCTGGCTATATGTCCACCTTACTTAATACATTTGTTATGTTATTGTTGACTTTTAATATTATTGTTCAATAAAAAAATGTACCCCTTTGTGAATACGTGATCTACTGTTTGAACCCAATTAAAGTCGATGGCAGTACATGTATAAGTTGGGGTGTCATTGTTATGGTGGCCCTGAAGGGACATCGCATATCGCAAACGTGTGCGCATACGTATGCAATGTCGCGAAATTTATCGCAAATGTGTGCGCATACGTATGCGATGTCGCGAAATTTATCGCGAACGTTTGCGCATACGTATGCAATGTCGTGAAACAATTCGCGAATATGTGCGCACACGTATGCGAATTTGTTTTGCAATGTCGTGAATTTTATTGCATACCTTGTCGCATACCTTTCAGTAAAATTCCTAATGAACTGGGGAGTTGTAGCAGCTAGTCTGGAATCTAGATGTACTGTTAGATATAAATAGGGTCTGACTAATAAACCTTCGCTCGCACGCTGTTTCTCGTGCAATCGTTACTACTAGTACTGTCGAGCGCGAACTTGCTACTTACGCAACTTTCAAATTTGCGCGCGCAAGTTTCAAACTTGCGCAAGTACCAAGTTTGCGCTCGACAGTACTAGTAGTAACGATTGCGCGAGGAACAGCGTGCGTGCGAAGGTTTATTAGTCAGACCCTATTTATATCTAACAGTACGTCTAGATTCCAGACTAGCTGCTACAACTCCCCAGTTCATTAGGAATTTTACTGAAAGGTATGCGACAAGGTATGCAATAAAATTCACGACATTGCAAACAAATTCGCATACGTGTGCGCACATATTCGCGAATTGTTTCACGACATTGCATACGTGTGCGCACACATTCGCGATAAATTTCGCGACATCGCATACGTATGCGCACACGTTCGCGATAAATTTTGCGACATCGCATACGTATGCGCACACGTTCGCGATAAATTTCGCGACATCGCATACGTATGCGCACACGTTCGCGATAAATTTTGCGACATCGCATACGTATGCGCACACGTTTGCGATATGAGATGTCCCTTCAGGGCCACCATACATTGTGCATAATAATGTGGGGATGGGGGAATCTCAGTCTACTGTATACCGCCACCAATCGTCACACTAATAATGTCTACACTTGACGGGTGCACTTTGACCCTATACTGCAGTACTCTTTACATAATTCCATACACACGTGCACGTCCATAGGCTTTGCATAACACTGCGAATTGGCAAACATGGAATCGGACTCGCACACGGAATGCTTGCAGCTGTCGAATGGAGTGCGAATGCCGGTTCTTGGAATAGGTAGGCCTAGGTGAATGTCATTCATTTGCATACTCTGTGTATTATTTTGCGTAAAGGTTATTATGAAGAAATGAATGGAGGCACAATTGCAGAATACCCCGTCACTCTATCTATGTGATCTCGACTCGTAGCCGGCTACGGAGTCACGGTTGGTTGCCCCATGAATGATTGCCGTCAGCAAACCTCAGCGCTAGCGCTAGTACCTGTACATGTACGTACCGTGTACGTAGGCGGCGGCCTAGTTACTCCACGTACTGCACTCCCACTCCGTATTAATGTTTTCAGCTAGCAACTCCCATTTCTTTAGTGTTGCTTCGTTCTCAAGGGGAACCCCACTCAGTATCCGTGTAGCTGGCAATAATCGGTTTTGGACTTGAATTGTTTCTTTTCTAGCGATTCCAACCGCGTAGCCAGATTATTTTAGGGGTGTATTTCCGAGTATTCTGCAATTGTGGTGTGCTATATTCTACGTACAATGTCATGTACGTGTGTATGAAGCATATTGCATATTTTAGACATGCAAAAATAACAAATGCACCACTGTGGCATATTTGCAATAAGTATTAGGCCAGTGAACAAAGTTCATACATGGAGCTCTCGTAAAAAAAGAAAAAAAGAAATAGGTTAAACTTTATTTAGATAAACCGCGTGCACGTTAGCCGATTTTTTGACGACACTCAATGTTTTCAAAGTTGAAATACATGTACATAATCTTATCCAAAATGCAGTATATATATTACACTCAATTATGCGCAAAACGGAAAGGGAGGATTGTTTTATGACTTATTTGAACTTTTTGAAAGTACTTCTGGGGTACTAGCGAAGATGGGAACACAATCGAAATCCATCTTTGACGACATATAGCGTGGAGCCGAGGAAGACATCTGTGTTAAAGGGCTACACTGTAAAAAAGTTGGGCGAAATGGGTTGATAATTCGACCAGTGCTGGTCGAATTATCATCTGCCTACACTCTTTGGCAAATTCTTCCCAATAGTTTGACAGTTTTTACCCAATTAAACCCAATATAAGGTAATTTCATACCAATGTTCGGTAAATTACATTGCCCAACAGTATTTTACCCAACGTTTATACAGTGCATGAACTTAGTGTTGCTGATAGGAACACCTTTTGTGCAACTTTCTAATCCTCTTGAAAACTATTTGACATCCCTTTTTGGTTAATTTTATGGAAAAGTGCACTTCTTTAAACGTTTCAATTTTCCATGCTTTTCGGACAACTGCACGATGGCGCTGTTGCTGTGATGTCATTTCGAGAAGACACTGTTCAGTCTAAGGGTGTTATGTTCACACTGTGAGCCGGAAAAAAAATTTGCTCATTGAAAACATTTTAAAGAAAAAATGGCTCATTGGCTCACTTCTGTGTAGGCCTACTGTCACAACAACGAATCACCCCGCAAAAAAAGGAACATTTGCAACAGCAAGATATTCTAAATTCTGGCAACGTTTGGTGCTGAAATAGCCTTATCATGAGGGTTCTGCCCAAAATGGCATTACACTTTTGCTTATAAATATGGAAATTGACATTAGCATAAAAACCAAAAAGTCACCAAAATACCCTTGAAAACAGGCAAAACAAAAACTGAAAATGAGTTTAATTGGAACAAAAAGGTGCATTTTCAAGGATTGCATTAAAATAACATACACTGCATGGACCCTTTAAACTGACGTGGTCAAATAGACGTAAAAGACCAGTTCCCGACCAAATTCATATCAATTTCCTTTACCGAAAAAAGGAACTTCACATGTCGGTGGTTACAGCGACGAGGCCATGGTGCATGCCCTCAAACACTGCGGGGTGCGGCACATCGACACGGCAAGGCGGTATAGATCTGAACACCTCGTGGGCGAGTCCGTCAGAAAAAGCGGCGTGAATAGGGCAGATCTCTTCATCACCAGCAAAGTGTGGCCCAGTCAGTACGGCTACCAAGAAACTAAGGATGCTTTCCATGACTCACTCAGACAAGTGGGCGTGGAATACTTTGGTAAGAAAAATTGAAAGCTACATATGTATAGCTGCATGCTTGGACGTATTAACTTTTTGAGACATGGTGAACACAATAGAAGGGCTCTATTTTGTTTGGGGAAAAAAAAGCTCTTGCATACCGAAATTTACCAAACCAAACAGCGCCCTCGTATTGTGTCCGCCGTTACATCAGAATTATGCATGGGATCGTAATCAGTTCTTATTGCCTATGAGTGAACATTCACTACATCTGACTTACACTAGGGACGAAACGTTCATTGTAAAATTTATTCAAATAAAAAAAAAGTAGTTTCCACTCATCCTATTGGTTTTTTTTTTAAGTTTACGTCTGATCTCTAAGTGTGTGACAAGATTCAAGATTCAACATTTATATTCGCCACGTGAAAAATTACATGAGATATGCTCTCCTATGTGCAATGACATATGTAGTATCCATAATGTTTTTAATATTAAGTCAATAAAACATAAGACACCTTACAATATAAATTCAATAGAAAAAAACGTCTTCGGATATAAGATATGTGATTTTAATGACCAGGAAATACACAAATTACAATGATGAGTTATCCTGATAACGTTTGAGCTGAAGTACATGCAAACTATTCTTGAAACCCCAGTGAAACCATTTTTATTTGAAGGCCATATTCTGTCGAATTTCTCTCGTCTTTGTAGATCTTTACTTACTTCACTGGGCCGCGTCCCCAGAAGGAACCGACACCAAGCAACTCATCAGTGAGTCATGGAAAGCTCTCGAAGAGTTTTACTCCCAAGGTATACAGTCAACTGTTGAGAAGAAAACGTCAGCCTTGGTGATAGAAAATAACAGCCTTGGGTTTCAGTAGGCCCTATTGAACGAGTGGCCTAATATTTCTGTAGATGTTGTGCCTATAACACCACTGTTTTAGAGTTTTACAAAAATGCCCTTAGGCCTATACCCAAGAACAAAAGAAAAAAGTACACAGATAAACAGACTAAATTTGAATTCCATTTTATTTGGGGGTGTTATTTCATTTTTTTCCCCGATGATTATTTGATCGAAAGCTTGAAGGAGAGCATTTACTGACTTGCAGTTCATTCATTTTCCGTTACCTCTCAACTATCTGTCATTTACGTTTCTTGTAGGCCTGTGTAAAGCAATTGGCGTCAGCAACTTCGAGATTTCCGACTTGAAAAATTTGGAGGAAAGCCGGAAAATTGTTCCCCAGGTCAATCAGGTGATTAATTGCAAGGTGTTAGATTTACGCTGCATGGCATCCATAGATAAGTGAAGATAAGTGATTACAAATACATTGTTTTAATTATATTGTTATTTGTATTCGAATGTGTTATTTTTTTCCTAAAGCAAGTGTCTCTAGATCTTGGTTTTGGTAGAAAATTGACCATCATCGCCCGACGCTCCAAAACTTTCAGATAATAATAAGTATTTTTTTCTTTTACATTTTAGTTGGAGATTCATATCTTCAGTTATCCGGAAAAGCTCATTGAGTACTGCAGAGGCCTTGGAATGCAAGTCGTGGTATGGCCGGTTGTGGCGTTTGTTATTTAATCAGTGTTTTAAATATAGTAGGATGGTGTTTCTGGTAACGTTGATAATCATTCATTTGTTTCGCAATGGCTGCCGTTCATAGTTGGCCAGCCCCTGGTTTGCAGAAAGTACGACTGTATACCGCAGCAAAAGAAAGGGCTGTAGCTGCGAGGCGCCATCGCTTTATTTTATTTGTAATCCATATTACATATTATTTTAGCTTGGAAGTTAGGTTTGAACACGATCTTAGTATGCGTTTTGGTGAACATAATCCCTTCTCAAGTGTCTAAATAGATGGATAGAGGCCCCCTTTGTCCATAAAGAAGAAATTATCCACATTTTGGCACTGCTTTAAGCTCTTGAACAAGTCTGAACAGCAGCCGATAGACTACACTAAATTGTTCATTACGATGGTGCATGGATGCCTGGTGAATGTGAACACAATTCTTCAGTGCAGTAGGTGTTTTGGTGCACTCTGTGAACTATGGCTGAAAACAATCTCAACATGCGTGTCTTTATATAGAGGAATACAGGCTCTCCTGCCCCCCCCCCCCCCAAAAAAATAATCATTATGTTCCCCAAATGGGTTTCAATTAACCCTTTCGCCAAAATTTGCTTCTTCTTTTTTAATCATCAAGGCATACAGCCCCATGGCTAAAGGGGAGGGCCTTACGCACCCGAAGGTGATGGAACTTGCCAAAAAGTACAAGAGACCGAGCAGCCAAATTCTCAATCGTTGGGTGACACAGGTAGGTCTCATACGACAATGTGCATGATATAATGCATCATAGCAGCATTTAAACAATTTATTTTTTTTTTCTTCTTTTTTTTTCTATAAATATTAAAATATTTATTTTCACTGTGAGCGTATTGTCAATAATGCAGCTTTGACAGTCAACGTAGGTGTCTATAATTATTATCAACAGTATACGGAGTAACGATCGTGTTTGTTTCCCTGCTCATACAGCACGGAATTGCAACTATACCGAAGTCTACCAAACCTCATCGCGTGGAAGAAAATTGCAAGGTTCGTTTTAAGGAACTCTCTGTCTAAAATCTCTTGATTGGGACTTTAAAAAATAGATTTTTTGCGGATGAAAATGTATCCATTCTCTGAAGAAATGCCTTAACTAAGTGCCAATTTTTCTTACAATGGACAAATAAGATTCTCGTGAGTATCATTGAAAACAAAACAGGGGATGATGGGTTTCAACACTAAAAGCTCTTTTTCATTTTGTCTTCCCCGGCCCTAAATTCTAATGAAGGCACATGTTGGGGCATCAGACTCTATCCGGTTTCAGGAGGCCCCTATCCGGTTGCATGTGACCCTTTCCGGTTTCAGGAGGCCCTATCTGGCTACAGGAGGCTCTATCTGGTTTCAGGTGGTCCAAGCTATCTGGTTTCAGGTGGTCCTATCTGGTTTCAGGAGGCCCTTCAGGAGGCCCTGTCTGGTTTAAGGAGGTCCTATCTGGTTTCATGAGGCCTATATTGGTTTCAGGAGGTTTCAGGAGGCCCAATCCGATTTCAGGAGGCCCTTTCTGGTTTGGAGGTCCTATCTGGTTTCATGAGGCCCTATCGGTTTCAGGAGGCCCAATCCGGTTTCAGGAGGCTCAATCCGGTTTCAGGAGGCTCAATCCGGTTTCAGGAGGCCCAATCCGGTTTCAGGAGGCCCAATCCAGTTTCAGGAGGCCCTATCTGGTTTAAGGAGGTCTGGTTTCAGGAGGCCCTATCTGGTTTCAGGAGGCCCTGTCTGGTTTCAGGTGGTCCTATCTGGTTTCAGGAGGCCCTATCCGGTTTCTTGAGGCCCTGTCCTATTCCAGAAATTATTAAGCCGGGAACTAAGCCATATCCAAATTCTCGGATAGGTGTACGTTTTGGTGGTTTTTTTTAATTGATATTCCTTTGTATTGGTTCTCATTGCTTGTTGCAGATTTTCGACTTCGCGCTATCAGCGGAGGACATGGGCTATTTGGACGCCATTCACGAGAGCGATTCTCATAGCGTCATCCATATCACTAGCCAGGCTGTGTTTAATCATACATGAACCTAATTGAGTGCATATAGTCCACAACAGTATTATCAGTTTGCCTGTCATCAGTTCATTGGCAAGGATGTTTGTTTGCTTGTTATAGTTTTCAAGTCTTGTTCGATTTTGTGCAATCATTCCACACAAAAAACACGCAGTCTGTCATGATGTATAATTATGTAGGCTATAATTGCCCTGGATATCAGTCAATGTATTTTATCTGTTAACTTTAGGGCCTACGTCAAATAATTTGAACTAAGAAAAAGAGACAAGAGGTAACTTTTACAGTGGAAATAAAAGAACATCAGCCTTGTTAAATCTAGTTAGCGATTCAACTAGGCCTCATACACCAAAACGTAATTACAAGTAGTTGAGTTTGATTAAACTATGACCCGTTGACTGGTGTGGAAAAAATGTGAAGTACAAGTAGTACATGTGTAATACCAGATTTGGAAGCGGGTGAGCAGGAGATGAAACAGAACTACATGGAACATAGCAATCGATCCCTCGAATTCCCGAAATAATTATACGTCTTCGATTTGTTTTTAAGAACTTATTAAACGTCAGAAGTTGGATATCAAACTTGTCTGCAAAATAATGACGCCCATATGGGCCATAAGTAGTAGAAAATTAATAGAAAATAACATTAAAATAAAATAAACTATACTTGATACATAGAGTTTACCAGAAAACAAAGAAAAACGAAGTTTATTTCACAAATATTCATCATGCATTCACAAAACGTCCAAGTATAACTTTGAAGAATACAAATAGGAATGCAGGGGGCTGTTCCTTGTTTTATCGGTGGTTGCTGTGGCGGTGTACGTTGGGGGGGAGGGGGGCGCCTGGGGGGCTTTAGCCCCCCCCCCCCCCCCTCCCCCCAAAAAATTGTCTAGCCCCCCCCCCCCACAAAAAAAATTGTATAAAAATAAAATGCACTAGCAAAATGTAAGAGTTTGACGTACATGGGAACGTTCTCCCCCTAAATGAGAATAAGGGTGCATTTGTACACTTTTAGTTAATATAGTGTGCCTGATTGTAGGGTTTTATCAGCGCTCCCCATTAAAAATATGGATTTGATTATTAATTTGTATTGATTTGCAGAGTGTCCAAGAAAATAACCTGTCTTCATTTCAGCAAGCCTCCCTGAAAAAAAAATAATCTGGATCCACCTTGCTAGCCCCCCCCCCCCCTCAATATTGGCTCTAGAACTGCGCCTGTGATTGGTTGGAGCAGAAAAAAGAAAAGAAATTCAATACATGCATGGTTTATGCAAAACAATAGTCTTCAAAGTCTGCAGTTGTCTTTGACAATAGCTTTCAGTTTTTGAGACGGGAAAGAATTGCCATAAGCCTCAGCTGCACGATGATGTCCTTGCATGCTCGCCTATTACCGGCTTCCAACAGGCTACCTGGCGAACTAGACCAGTAGAGGGCAGTACACATCGAGACTCGAACACAAAATAAAACGAGGATCTACGCGGCCGCAGTGATCTGTAGAGCGATTTGTGACTCAAAATGCAGGTTTGTCCAAAATGATTTGAGGGTTTGCACGTTTATTGTGATAGTAAATATATGTGCTAGCAAAGGAAGAAATTAATAAGTTCTCCATATTTCCTAACGGTTAGAAAAATATCAATCGAAAAAGATGTCAAGATTCCGGACAAAACACGAACTATATAGGCCCTAAGTAGCTGGAGTTACCCAGCCCTGAGTTTTTTCATTGGGTTGTCTATAAGGGCTGGAGCGCATTTTTCTCAAAACTTGTAGTATTTGCAAAAAAAATTTGGAAAATGTTCAATTTTGTCCCCGTTACACACTAATTGCAACTGCAACTCACCCCAAACTTGCCTGGAATAACTATTACACAGGTCCTTGAAGTAAAAAAACGATCCACGATGAAGATTCAGCCTACAATTGCAGTGAAAACAGGAGGAATAACCGCTAACTTGACAACCTTGCTGGATTGGCCAGGACCGCTATTGGTTTGTGCACAAAAAAAATTGTGTACAATGAATGGCGGTCGATTAACAGGCACAGAGAGCGATCGCTGTCAACTACTCGTTTTGCCGGCTGCGCTGGCTGTTGGCGCGTGACGTCACGCGGAAGCGTAACACCCGATGACTGTTTCATGCACTAGTATAAGGTTTACCACTCGCATCACAGCTTTGGTACCGGAACCGCAACCAATAGTGCATGAAACAGTCATCGGGTGTTACGCTTCCGCGTGACGTCACGCGCCAACAGCCAGCGCAGCCGGCAAAACGAGTAGTTGACAGCGATCGCTCTCTGTGCCTGTTAATCGACCGCCATTCATTGTACACAATTTTTTTTGTGCACAAACCAATAGCGGTCCTGGCCAATCCAGCAAGGTTGTCAAGTTAGCGGTTATTCCTCCTGTTTTCACTGCAATTGTAGGCTGAATCTTCATCGTGGATCGTTTTTTACTTCAAGGACCTGTGTAATGGTTATTCCAGGCAAGTTTGGGGTGAGTTGCAGTTGCAATTAGTGTGTAACGGGGACAAAATTGAACATTTTCCATTTTTTTTTTGCAAATACTACAAGTTTTGAGAAAAATGCGCTCCAGCCCTTATAGACAACCCAATGATAAAACTCAGGGCTGGGTAACTCCAGCTAGGCCCTAAGCATGGAAAAGTTGCAACCTGACGCCACCTCCGCGATTGTGTACAAAGTCTATGGCGAGTCAAGAAAATTTTTCTAAGTATTTCCTAACAAAATGGGAAATGTTTCTCAGTCCCAGATCATCATTTTTGCAATGAAAGACCTTCAGTCATTGAGATGATATTGATCAGTTGATATATATGAAGAAAAAAGTGGCGTCAGGTTGCAACATTTTTTCAGGTTTTTATTTTCAACTTCAAATATTATTTGACCTTTGAAGTTGAACATAAAAACCCTTCTTTTTTCAACCTACTAGCTTGCCAAAATAAATGTTCCTCTATCTTGCTACAATCCTGGCGATCATGTAGCTATAGGCCTGACACTTTGTATGTAATTTTGAGCAGTTTCTTGTGGTAGAAATTACGATATTCATACGCAGTTTACGGTTGGTGCCGTGCAATTCAGCTTGCCTTGCGTGTTCATGGTACATGCACATCGCGTGGTATAAAGAATAAAGAAATTGTTTTCATTAAAACAAAATTCGTACATGTATGTATGTATGTATGTATACAGATTGAACATTTGTGAGGAGAAAAAAAATTCCATTTTTTTGAAGAGCACGGGGTATTGCAAATTTAATCATGTTAACATAATTGGGGACACAAGTCAGATGGGCAGTCTGATTTAAGTTGCTTCATTAGGCGAAGTAAAAAAAAAAAAAGTTTCTCGTCCGGGGTTTTTGAAAAAAGGGAGGAAGCAGGGCCTTTTATTTTTTATTTTTCATTTTTTCCAAGATGGCCGCCATTTTAAAATTTCCTGCAACCCTTGGTTGTGTCAACTGTTCAAAGAGACTTTTAAAATGAAAGACAAGTTGGACAAGAGAACTGAACATATTTACAGTGTCGGAAAAAAATTCGGTACTGGGCCACAACATTTTTTCAATTAGTTTTCAAGCGCCAAAAGTTGTATCCTTTGACTTCGGACTCTTACTTGAAACACGAGACTCTTCACCGCTAGGCCGCGCACGATCGCTGTTGCAATAATCAATCTTTGGACGTATTTAAAGTAGCCATTGAAATAAACTAAATATTCATGAGAAATAAATATTCATAATGACGTATTGCACTATCATTGGCCGGCTCATGCGACGTCATGGTTGTCGATGTCATGCGTCATGCGTACCGCTGTCTGTCAGCCACACTTCAATCAGTTTTGACCGGCTGCTTCAACTTAGTTCCACACGACGTGTGCATCCAAAATGGGCTCTAAAAACACATTTTGCCTAATTTTCTTTTTCGCATTAACACAGCTTCCTGGATTCCTCTTGGGTGAAATCACAAGGTGAGGTGAAAATTGATGTGTTTAGCGGCAGGTAAAGTCGTGGCCCAGTATGGAATTTTTCCCCCATTGTCATTTAGAGTTGTATTGGTATTTGTATTTATTTTCCGATGATTTTGTGGACTTTTTCGGTGTTTTTTACTACATTTTTCAAAAATAAAAAAATAATAAAAAAATCCAGGCGGCCTCCAGAAAGGAAGCGGGCGGGACGAGAAACTTGTTTTTTTTTTACTTCGCCTTATTAAAATTTTCCATTAAACCTTGTATCAACAGAATCAAGAAAAGGCACTGGAAAATTCTCTGGAAGCCTTAACGAACCGAGTGCAGGACTTGAAGGCTTCCCTGATTGCCTTCCTGGAGAAATTGGAGCGTGAACATGCGACACTCTCATGGTAGGTCATAGAAATACTGTTAAATTGTTCCTTACATTCCCTGTTGGATCACCCCAAAAATTTGAATGTTTCAACCCTCCCCCTTCAAATTGGTTCATATTTATTATATGGGGTAATTTTATCTGGAAAAGCTGACATTTTAAGTTCAGCGCTATGGGACCAACGGTTTTGGCACTACCTCCCGCCTTTTTCGGGCAATTTTGATCAAAGTGAGCGTTGCCACCAATTCTCAAATGACCATATCTCCATAACCTGAGGGCCAACTTTGTTCATCTTGTTTCTTTGGAAAGGTCACATCATAAGAAATCCAATTTTACCATTTTTTTTCCATGTCAAAGTATAAACTGGAAAAAAAAATTTCTGGCTCTTTGTACACACTTTGCTACGTTGCTTTCCGCTCACAAGATGTTTCACCTCTCATTTCTTTCGCAGGCCTTCTGTGCTGAACAACTTCGCGCTTCTGTCGGGTATGTTTTCATATCATTAAAAAAAATAGCCATTAATATTATTTATACTCGGTGACTCTTGGAATCAGACAGTCAGTAAGTGACTCAGCCAGTCAGAGGGCAATAGGCTGGCCCTATAGGTCAAACAAAAAATTACACAAGAAATGAATCATTAACTACAGTTTTACAAAAGTGATTTGAATGCCACATGTCCACATCTTACATTGTAATTTGCCTACTTACTGCATCTAGGTCAGATCAACATGTTGAACAAAGTTCTGAAGAGCGACAAGACACCAGCTTTAAGGAACCTGGTTCTCCTTCCCCTGAAGCTGTCTCAGGATAGAGATGAAGAACTGGAGGTCAGTAGCCACCCACTCTTGGGTCAGAGTTTAAGGGTGTGAAATCACTGTAAAGTATATTGCCCAAGAACACAAGGGTCAAAAGCCCATCGAGAACACAAGGGTCTCCCATCAGCTTAGCTTGAAAATGGATACTTGATATTATTAACACTTACCCTCCAAGTTTGTTCCCAAATCCACAAAAAAGGATTAGGATAGGACTTGCAGGATTGACAAAGGTATAGCCCAGCCACTCTAAAAGGTACACAGAATGTCAAATTGTTTTTCATATTACAAAGGAACATGAAAATCAAAAATGCATCGGCCATATTGTAAAAAAAAATTGTCGTCTTTCGCAACATCTTTTTAAAATTGGTTAATCGTTTACGTAATTGTATAGCATTGTTATCATCTGTTGTCTGTTTCTCTCTTGTCTTGTAAATCTTTCCTAATGAGTTTTAGGCTGGATTAAATATATTGCATTATAGAGTACTTGAATCACAGCAGAAAGTTAATTCATTTCAGTAAGCATTTTCTTTTTGAAAAGTAATATGCAGCGCTTTGTGAACATCTGTCAACCCACAGAAAATGACGGAGGGTCGAGTACCAGCGTTCAACCATGAGGTAGTTCCCAACTACCTACGCACCAAGGCAGAGCCCGAGGTTGAGGAGAGGGAACTGCAACTGAAGCAGAAGGCTGCGACGATCACCCCGGAGCAAGCACAGGTATGTTCAAGAATGAGCCGATCCAGCTTTTAAAGTAGTCTGAGTATCACCCGTTATCATCGGAGCCAAGTCTCCTGTATAACGTCTGATATATCTAAACATGCGTGGCGTCATTTCATTCCAATATCAGGACTAAGATTGTGATTGGTCAATTTTGATGCCGCGTTTTTGTAATACCACAACCTGTACGAAAATGCTACTTAACCGTGGGCGTGCATCCATATTTGTGCACAAACCTATAGAAAACTTGAAATTTTGTATGGCTTTTGTACGGCTATTTGCATATCTGCATTTGTATTCTATACAGGTTCGTTACCTAAGTTGATATGCCCAAAACTGAAATGCAGGATCAGCATTTCAGGCTTCAAAGCGTCTCCGCGCGCAAGAATGAGGAGTTAGCACTCTAGTAATGTAATATAGCTCTATGTGAGGAACTCAACTTCAACACTGATATATGCTGGGTGGTCAAAATTTTTTTTTTTTTACACTTTTCAGGCCCAGATTTCAATCTTGGAATACCGAACTGGCTTGAGATATCTTTTGCACTAAACAGGTACTTACAGGGTTTCGGTGTTCGTCTATTACATGGTTTAACTTGTCTGTGAACTGATGATCTGATTGATATGATTGACTTTGCAGCAGAAGCAGATCAACAGCATGAACAAGCTGGTGAACCGACTCCTGGACATGGTGAACAACGCTAAGGATGACTGGGAAGGTGACAACACAGGTAAGCAGGTGTAATCTTAAAGCTTGGAATAACAAACCCTTGAACTGCATTGCCGCAGGGCAACTGGCAGCCCTGCCAGTTATAAAATGGTACATGGGTTCAAACCCAGACGGGGATCTTGGGGATTGTTGTCCTTGAGCAAGACAATTTACTCCAATTGCCCCTTATCTCAAATGAAAACAGTTGACCTTTCACCGTTTGCGAGTTATCCAGGCCCCTTAGACGACCCCCATGGAATTTCGTACGTTAACTCATGTTTGTCTCAGATTTTGCTCGTTCCGCGTCCAGTTTATGTAATTGGACAATTTTCACAAACTGTGTGGACGCGATTCTACAGCGATAGGTAAATTGGGTACCCATGAGGGGTAGAGAATAGGTTACACTGTTGTTGTAGTTGTAGTAGAATTGGCGCCTATTTTTTTAGGTTACACTGATTCAAGCTGCTTCATGAGGAATGATGTCATGGCCTGATTAACAAGGGGTAAAAAGCGCTGTTAATATATTTGTATGAAGCTCTGTAAAAGCATGAATTAATTTATTTTGTCTACTATTATTGTTGTTGTATTGTCTTGATTTCAGCCATGAGGCTGGCCAACCTAGGCAACTCCAACCCCGCCGACACAGCGACCCTCATCGGAGCCGTCACCACCGGCAGGAACCTGAAACCCATCCGCCCTCCGGTCCAGGGACAGCATAGCGTGCCTGGGCCTCCGGGGGGACCACCCCTATCACAGCAGCAGAGACCTGAGCAGCATGGTGAGTAGTCTTGGCTCAAGACTGGATTTGGTGGGGGTTTTTTGTTCCCCTAACACAGCTGGTCTCGCTACACGCGCATTCAAGCTGTCCTGGTGTTAGATGGCGCTGTTAAAAAAAATGCATTCTGTGGAACGTTGGCACTTGAACCCAATAAATTCTGAGCTTACCTCATGAGCAGGCAATAGCTGTAATTACTGCACGTGTGAGATATGCTTGGAATTCCTCGGTTCTGATTGCCAAAGTTCCCAATATTTGATTAATTTTGTTGTAGCCGCCTCTACGACCATGGTGACTTGACCGAAGTATAAATTTGCAAATAACTGCTTCTTAGTACTTAAAGGGTGCATGCGATGAAATTTTCTTAGGAACAAATTGTGCAACTTTCTACTCCTCTTAAATGTATGAATAATATTTGGCATCCCTTTGTAGTTAATTTTATTGAAAAGTGCACTACATTAAACTTTGAAAAAAATTTCATGCTTTTCTGGACAACTGAGGGCGCTGTTGCTGTGATGTTTTCAGGAAGACGGTGTACAGTTTACGGGTTTTCTGTTCAGATTGTGAACCCGAAATATGCGTATGGAAAACATTTGTGAGAAGGGGTTGCTCATCAGCTTGCTCCCATGTACTTACACAACAGTGAAAGAAAATTTATGACAGCAAAATATTCAAAATTCTAGCAGCTTTTTGCACTGAGCTAGCTGTAACATTGAGGTTTCTGCCCAGAATGACATCACAGTTTTCCTCATGAATATGAGCATAAAAACAAAACAGGCACCAAAAATAGCCTTTAAAATGGCAAAACAAAAATTGAAAACAAGGTTAAATGGGACACAAATGTGCATTTCTAAGGATTCCAATAATACATTGCATTGCACAGACCTTTAAATTTATGTGCCCAACTGTCTCCTTTTCTTTTTATTGCAGTGCCCATGGGGAAAGCCCCAAGCACCATCAAGACAAACATCAAAGCCGGTTCCAGCACGCATCCCTATGGCCACAGATGAAGGGAACCAATGAAACTCTCATTAGATATTCGTTGACCCTTAACCTCCCAGGGCCTTAAAATGCACCAGGAGGTTTTGGAGGGTTTCGCAGGATTGAAGAAAACCCATCAATTGCTTTGTGAAACTGAAAACACTTACATTCGAATTGTGTTCGCGGTACGATCGTTCTGTGCATACAGTGCATTCGTCTTAAAGTAAATATGCAACATTTGCAAACATCAAGAAACACCACAGAAACTACCAAATTATTATGAAATATCTTACTGGACTGTTAGTGAATGACAGTCTAAAGCATCCTGTAAAATCGTGGCACCTGGTGTGCTGTCAGTTCAAGAAAAGTGGTATTTTTGTACATGTATCAATTTCCAACGCTGGTCAGCCGACCAGCGTTGGAAAAACAAAACTGACCTTTTTTTCGACTACTGCCCCCAATTTACCAAATTTATTCAGTCCACATTTTGTTTTCAATTGGTTACACATCCGTGAACGGGTGCAAGCTAGCTAGACTGGTTCCCTGACCTTACAATTTTATAAATTGCTCCATTTCATCTTTAGTTGGGTCAGGGAACCAGACTACAGGAACAAGATTGTTTTTCTTGGTTTTTCTGGCATCTGCGAACACAAAACTGAAAAAAGTCAGGGAAACAATATTTGCTTTAAAATATCCCCCCCCCCAATCCATCCATTTCTGAAAATAGCAAAAGCAAATGTTGCATATTTCCTTTAAATGTATTATTTACAATTCATGCCAAAGTTAATGTTCTTTTGTGTTTTGTGTTAGGTCAAGACATTACTGGCCACTCAAGCTCATATTGTTGACTTGTACTAACCCTACAAAACTTGCACAAAATGTCGCCATTGTTTCTGGTTTAATATAATCTACATTTCAAAAGTTTCTTTTAAATGTGTTGAACGCAGTTAACAAACCTTTGTTATGGGTCTGTGTAAAATGCTGGAGTTGTTCTTAAAAGGAAATATTGAAATTCAGAAATAGCGTCAGCAGTGTTTCCCCTGGCTAATGAACTGAGCGAGGTGGTAACAATTCAAGTTGATGATTGAAACGAAATTTTCAGTCTGCAAACTGAAAAGAATGCAGCGCTCACAAAAATGCGCGATGATTCCAAAACACATCAAAATTGTGAGTTCTTGATACATGGAGGTAAAGGAAAATGCTCATATATAACACAAAATGAAAATTTTTCAATTGATATTTCCTTTTTTGCCAATCTTCACAGAGAGGTGGTGATATTGGCAAAAATTGAGCGAGGTGGTCACTGAAAGTAGCGAGGTGGGCCACCTCACGTTTGAATGGGCAGGGGAAACACTGAGCGACAGGACCATTTCAGTTTCCAAATCAACATGACCAATTCCATTGTTCAATTTTTACAAGTTTATAATACCTTTATACACTCCAAATAGCCAACATATGTATCTCATTCAAAGATACACAATGTTTATATGATTTGTTGTTCGTGAGTTTTTTTTCTGAGCAATATTAATAAAACAATGGGCTCTGTTCTATGGAGCTAATACCACATCCTGTATCGGCTCATGGCTTCTGACTAGCGCCCCTTGAAAAAAGATAGACAATATGGGAAACCACAACATATTGTTGATGTCCCCTAACGTGGGGCAACCCCTAACGCGGGTACTTGGATTTTATTGCCTCTGGGGCCTTGCTAGAGCAAAAGTTTACCTGAAATTTCACAGTAAGTGAAATTTCATCAGGCTCTAAACACGAGGTTATCTGCCCGTTACAAAGTTAGATGAAAAAAAAAATGTGACGTGGCTTTCCGATTTTATTTCGAAGTGTACAGTGCACCCTTTGAAAGAGCGCCAAAAAAAAAAGAAAATAGTTTTATGACGAACTTGTAGTTGGGTATGTGAGTGGAGATAATAATGGTTTGTCAGAATTTCCGAGATTTAAATCTAGTGTGCAACGTTAGGGAGCACTCGGCTGATTTTTGCCCAATTTCCGGACGACACCTTTTTCGAATTTCGGACTAAATTCCTTGAGAGATTTCAATTCCGGGAATGATTTTTTTTCGCGATTTAAACACTATTTTCTTTTAACCATATTATTTTCTTCCCCCTCGGTTCTCTTAAATTTTCGATCTTCTTGTGTCAAATATCATGGCCAATGATCGGACTGTAATTTGTTGTTCTGGAGTAATTGTGTGCACACGGAGTGTTTTATGTTTGTTTAATGGACTGATCGTGATCCGCATTGACATGATCTTTACGGGTAAGACCAAAATTCTTTACGGTACTGACCGGTGTTTGTGTAGTGCGCCCTCTTTTGAAAAAAAAGGGAGGTCTTTAACCTGGCATTTTTTTTTTAGCAAAATAGGACACAAACAGATGATTCTGGAAAATTGCAGATTGTTCGGGCTTAATCTTGTATTTATAGCAAAATTGGGCAAAAAGAAATGTTTATGAAAAAATTTAAATTGTAAGAGGTGTACCTTGTATATTTAATAAAATTTGGCAAAATCAGATTTGTATGAAAAATCTAAAATGGTAAGGGGTTAACCTTGCTTTTTTAGAAAAATTTTGAGCATATTTTACTAAAATTGGGCAAAATCAGATGCTTCTAAAAAATCCAGATGTAAAGTTTCCGCAAAAAAAGCTGTTGAAAAAGAGCCCAATGTTGAACTTTACTGAGTCTGAGGTCTATCGAGGGGACGATCCTTATTTCAACTCCCGGAGATTCGCTGACAGTCTCTATTTTTCTTTTTATGAAAGTCGAAATAGCTGAAGAGAGAGGTGAGAATCTATATGTGCCCAGATACAAAGAGTAGAAATCTACGCGTCTGCCTTTTGAAAATACACAATTGCGGTGTTCATTGTTGCGTAATGATCCGCCTAGCACACGACTGTTTTGCACATTAGGCTGTGTTGTGCAGCTTCCTAACAAACCAAACACACTGGGCTCATTATATCGACTTGTTTTTACCCATTAAGGTAAACCAAATGGACCCAGTAATCTTCCTGGCGCGTTTGCTCACTATGATATAAAGACAACTTTTCTCAGTTTAAGGAAAATTCTAAGGTAACGAAATGGCCGAGTGGTTACGAATCGTCGTCCACGGTTAGCGGGGTCCCGGGTTCGAATCCCGCTGGTGTCTTTTTGGTTTTTAACGTAAGAGTTCAATCATTTACTATAAGAGATTTAATTTCCCGTCGTAAAGTACCAACAGTACCTTAGCTTAATCGGTAAGCACTGCTGCTGGTACTGTCCGCGAGTTCCAGGTTGGCGCCTTCGTACAGGTTCAGGGCATGTGGTCCACTCGGAGGATCAGGGCTTAGGGGCCGCCCTGTTCCTCCCTTAGCTCTTTGCTTTTACATGGTGCCTGGCCCTCCGGGGTTATATGGATGGATAGGGAAGGAAGTGTGTATTGGTCGGGGACGCCGAGACCCCGGAAGAGAACTAAGGGATCGGCTGGGGCATTGTTATGGCTCAGACCGATCCCTGAAAGCTTGACTAGCACATAACTTTTTGATTTTTTTTTACCCTCTATCTTTTATACTTTGGTTTAGTTTGATAACTACAGCTGCTCGGCAGGTCTACGGGTAGTATCAAAATTGAAACAAAGATGTATGTCATCAATCAATGAACATTTCATTATTGACTATAATCAAAACGGAGTTTCGTTTGATCAATTTGACTATCATTATATAATGATGCGATTGCCAATTGACGTAAGAAACGCCATAAATTATACCGGGAAAGAATAAAGATGTACTTTGTAATACAAATATTATTTAGACACCTTTCAAATAACGTGTCTTTAATTGTGAGCATTCCAAACAATACAGTAATTCGCAATAGTAATAGAATGGTATATGATAGCACGATCAATGCGTCTCTATTTAATTTAATAAAATATAATTTAGGCCCCTATGTGTGAAACATTCTTTGATTGACTATGAGCATTCCATACGAATGAGTTAATTCGCAAAATATAGCAACAACAAAAGAGAAAGGGAAAAGAGAAAATTCCTTTACCCTAAAAACTGGAAAAATAATTTGTTTTAAAAAAGTCAAATGGGACACTTCATGTATTGATTGAACAGTTTGCAAGGGGTTAACCTTACATTTTAGCAAAATTGGGAAAAATCAGATGTTTCTGGAAAATTGCAGCTTGTAAGGGGTTAACTTTGCATTTTTAGTAAAATTTAGATGTTTATGAAACATTTGAAATTGTAAGGGGTGAACCTTGCATTTTTTAGCGAAATTGAGCAAAATCAGATCTTTCTGGAACATTTCAGATTGTAAGGGGTTAACCTTGCTTTTGTAGTAAAATTTGGCAAAATAAGATGTGTATGAAAAATTTCAAATTGTAAGGGGTTAACCTTTCTTTTTTAGTAACCTTGGGAAAATTTAAATGTTTATGAAAAATTGCAAAGTGTCAGTGGTTAACCTTGCATTTTTTAGCAAAATAGGGCTAAATCAGGTGTTTATGGAAAATTTCAAATGGTAAGGGGTTTTCAGCAAGACAAAACTTGCAAGACCTAACTGCGCTGCTGCTCAAGCATAAGTGACTGTGTGCTCGAACTTTCAGTTACCAGTTCAAAAAAAGTGAACTAGTTCATGCACTTAAATCATTGTGGCCACAAGGGGAGTGACCTGGAATGGCTAACCTTCCAACCAGCCCTGTCAACGGTCCAGCGGTGATAAATTATTTGAAGATTCAATTCCATTTGCCTCAAATCGATTATGAAACATTTCAAAGGGGTTAACCTTGCTTTTTTAAGCGAAATTGGGAAAAATCAGATGTTTCTTGAAAATTGCAGATTGTAAGGGGTTAACTTGGCATTTTTAGCATAACTGGGCGATATCAGATTTATATGAAAAATCTCAAATTGTAAGGGGTGAACCTTGTATTTTTAGCGAAATTGGGCAAAATCAGATCTTTCTGGACAATTTCAGATTGTAAGGGGTTAACCTTGCTTTTTTTAGTGATATTTGGCAAAATAAGATGTGAATGAAAAATTTCAAATTGTAAGGGGTTTACCTTGCTTTTTTAGTAAAATTGGGCAAATTTAAATGTTTATGAAAAATCTCAGATTTTAAGGGGTTCACCTTGCATTTTTAGCAAAACTGGGAAAAATCAGTTTTGTATGAAAAATCAAAAATTATAAGAGGTTAACCTTTGCCCAATTAGGGCAAAATCAGATGTTTCTGGAAAATTGCAGATTGAAAGAGGTTAACCTGGCATTTTT